TGAGACCATACATGATGTAAATTCAAAATAATGTGATATTATTTTACATTATGTGGGGTCTACATTATTCTGGGTTGCTTTGCGATGTTATATCAAGACTCGTGAAAATAAAATTGTGTTCTTCTGCGAACTAATAGAGACGATTTTTCCAATCTTCTGGTACCACTCGATTTTTATTATTTGAACTTGGCGGCAAGTAACCTTTAGTTTCCCAGTCTATTGTGTCCATTCATAGTCTTAACAATAGAATGTAAATTGCCATGCGAGCCTACCGCACACGATCGCGGTAAACCCGGGTCATGGAATCTATGCATAAATTTGCATAAAATGCGGTCGACCGGCGAGCACCCACCACCACCACCGCGGTAATGACCGTGGTTAACCGTGAGTTTGATTTCCTACTCTTCCCTTACCATATTCATGTCAGAAGCTCTTTAAAGAGGCTTACCGCCCAGCAGTTCCCAACCCAAAGTATACATGTATTGAATGTCACAATGTAGTATCGCTTTCTAAATTATTCTTATTTGGACTAAATACAACCCTACTACAATTGTTTCTTTTAGGATTTGGGCTCAGACTGAGGTTTTGTTTGATTCAGAACATCTCAAGTATTCTAATTTTTTACACACATCAAATGACATATGGTGATTTGTTTAACCACCGCAATAATTAAGATCATTTACATGTGATAAATACTGTAAAATGACTAATTTTCACTGGGTTTAAATTTCACTGATTTACCATTTCAGGCATATTCAGTGGGTTTTAAATTCACGGTTTCGTCATTTAGATAATGTGTTCTATGCTAAATTTTACATATTCACTGTTTTAATTTAGCGCATTTTTCCAGTCAGCGAAATAAGCTAAATTAAAACCCAGTGAATAATTACCCCCTTTACAGTATACCAGTACTTACTTGGTTCCTGTTCCTATCAAAAATATATCTTTTCCTCTCACTGATTCGCCAAGCTGGACAAGCGTTTCTGTAAACAAAAACACAAGTTACTATTACTATATTTTACTAGTACTGTATTTATCTAACTAAGAGCCCATGCCGACCAAACACCCAACCCTCACTTTTGATAAAATAAAGGAATTGAGGTCATATCCTAGCATATGCCCAGGGTTTTTTTTCTACACCTGTAATAAAATAAAATAACAAAAACCTTGTTTTTAGTTTGTTGTATTAACAGTTGACTTCCTTGTGCCATTGCAGCAGAGTCGCTTGAATCAAAATTGTGTGCGACAACATCGACAAACTTTATGACGAAGCTGTAAGGATCTTGTTTGACGGCGACAGTGATGCCAACTTAGACTTTGAGGGTTTTGACTTTGACGAAGATGGCCATGAAGGTACCACAAAATAGAGCTTTGGTTTGGTTTCAAAACGTAGCATTTTGCTGACTATGAATCCATAACGGGAGCTAGCACTTTTGAGACATCACGTTGTAAACTTGCTACTTTCTTTCCATCCTTCATCACAGCTATGGCATTACGGTCATGTGGATTATTTTTCTGTCGTTGAAGAAAAAACATTTTGCCGACCTCAAGTCCATTACGATAACCATAATGAGTCATGCCGACGATGGGAACTTGTTGCATCATAATTTTGTCATGTGTGTGGGTGCGTGAATAATCATGTTAATGAGGTCGACCAGAGTTTATTTTCAGTCTGTTTTTTATGTATCGCCATTTGGATATGTTTATGTATTCACAATAGTTTGTAAACATTTCACATCAGTAATAAAAGGTTCATTTGTTTCATAAACCTGTCTGCTATTCTTCAGTAATTACGATGCGATGTATCAACAAGTGAGTGAACAAAATTATGCTAATGAGGTCATCGCCATCTTGGATTACAAGCGGTAGGTTTTCCCGGCTGTTTCGGCTTGCACTGATCACGGTTACTAAATTCGCTGACATAAAACAAGTTTTATTCTTGAAATTCGACCCTGTGTCTTAGTGTTCCCACAGTTCTTGACCAAGTGCTCACGTTTATTGAAACCTCGCATAAATCAAGAAATAAGTATGTGTACAAAGTGTACGAAAGCATTCCTTTATTTGACCTTATACGATCACAAAAACAACTTTTTTAAATATTTTTTGGGGTGGTCCTCTGGTAAGCGCCCACCCCAATTTTTCCCGATTTTGTATGTTCAGGCCCCTGGGCGCATGCCCGGGGTAATACGATATTGTTCATGTATGACTGTTGATCCGGTATTTGTCAAAACCGGAAATAATTTTACGCAGTTTACCCAGTGACATTTTAGTTCATTTTGAGTTCATGCGTATTGAGAGCGCGTTTGTCGGTAGGGAAATCCTGAATTCGAATGATTCTTCACTGTTGATTTATATTATTTCTGGTTTATTTGTCACATTATAAGCAATACATTATTTTGGCTTTACTTCTAATGCAGGGATTGAGTTAACGCATAATTCCGTCCGGGAAGCAATGTTTTTGTCAGGGATGCACTGTTATTTCACCAGCGCATTAACGGGACCCGTCGTCATTGGCATGCTCTGTCAATTTGTTAGACTTACATCATGATTACGTCCAGTGTATTTTGCACTGAGTGACGGCGGAAATTGCATGGCTTGTGCTATCGTCAATGAATACTCCCTGCTGTACTTATTGTTGTAAATTTTAATCGCTAAAGAGGTGTGAAATATAAGCGTTCACGGTCTACCATGTTTCCAGACTGTGTTCACTTAGTACGGCACCGGTGATTGGTGCAAACTGATTCACTGCGTCACGGTAATGAGATGCTAGTTATATGCGGTTGAAAGGTCGTCACTGTAAAAAAATATGGCGGACATTCGATCGTCTCTCACTTGTCTGGCACTTCCGAGATCCGTATCACACCTTATATACTTTCTAAGCATTTCTAATTATAGAAGTTTAATAGATATGGAGGAATTAACTATAAATACCCGGCTATGATTTGCGAAAAATCACATCGATCACAGCCATGGAACGGTTCGTAACTGTGCTGCGTCAGAGGAGCTCCGCCTCTACCATCCAAGAAAATTCAACCGATAAATTCTCATCAGTGAATGAAAATGGTAAAAGAACGTTTCCCAGTGTTGAACCAGAAAGTTCCACTTCTACGCCAGAGAAACCAGCAAAGAAAGGAAGTCCGCACGGAAACTTTCTCCCACAGTGGTTGTCATTATTTCCGTGGTTAGAGTATAGCGATGGTGCAATGTTTTGTACATGGTGCATGAACAAATATACTTACTGTGTCCTGAACTGAAAACTAGTGATAAAAAAAAAATGGAATATCTGAATAAAACTTATTGTGTATGCTTTTTTATTTGTGTATGGAGTTTTCAAAGAGCATCAGTAGCAGCTACAGAAGAGGCTTCCGACAGTCTGCAAACTCAAATGAAGTGTGTTTACTGGTTAACCAAGGAAGAATTGCCATTATCCAAGTATCAATCCCTGGTTGATTTTTTGAAAGAAACTAACTGCCCTGATGTCAAAAATATTACTGCTGAAAATCTATATGGCCATCACAGTTCTGTAGAAGATATGGAGGAAGCTACCGGTATTGCTGATGTCATAGACTCTGAGATAGACACAGATATACAACAAAGTGGTGTTTTTGGTATTATGATAGACGAGAGTGTGGACATTTTTGTACACAAACTAATGTCAATGGTTATAAGAGTAGTTGTAGATGGTGAGGCTAAGAATCATTTTCTTGGTAATGTAGAAGTTAGAGATGGCAGAGCAGAAACCATTACTAATGCTGTTAGTGAATCTTTAATTTCTAGAAAAATTCCTTTAGAGAATCTTGTAGGGTTTGGCAGTGACGGTGCTGCAGTCATGACAGGCAGACTTAATGGTGTTGCAGCTCGCCTCAAGCAAGATGTGAGCTCATAATTGATTTCTGTTCATTGTGCTGCTCATCGTCTCAGCCTTGCATCTTCACAAGCAGCAAAATCAATTGATTCACTGAAGAAATATCAACAAGTTTTGAATAATGTGTATATATTTTTTAATTCATCCCCAGTACGTTATAATATAATAATGGGGTTCCGTCTTTTGAGCAAAGTGTCTGGAAAGTTTTTTTTTTGTAAAAAAAAAATGTTTCCAAGAGAGTATATATTTTCGATTTTGGCGGTCGTGAAAAGGGGTAGTGGTCTAGAAATTTTGGTGCACATCCGGAAGTACTCCTCTCCACCCCCTTTTCATTTGCTCATATGGATAAGATCGTCTTTACCGAGATGATTAATGTATTGTTTATCTGTCTATTACTAGTACTAATAATAGGGGTTGGTTATTCAACACAAATATTTATTTACATACACTTACACGTAACCATGTTGTTTATTTATTTGTTGACACATGAAATTAAAGGAATTTGTGATGTGTAATCTTTAAATTCCAAGGGACACGCACATTTCGTCTCCTTCTTTGGTACAGGCATGGTAGTACCTTCCTTGATACAGGCAATATTTGCACAGTTAAGCGTTTATGAAATAATAGTACATATTCATGTACAGTACAGAGTTAATCTCTGCGTCCTTAAATCACGGCTCCACTAATCCTGGGATTCTACAATTGCATCATGGGAAATTAGAACATATCAATTACATCAATAGCACCATGCCTACTTAAAAATACGTGGAGATTAAACAAGAAGCTCGGGATTAACACATATTTTGCATAAACCCATGTCATTTTGAGCACTGTTTGAAAAGTGCTTTCTCGTCATCAGTCGATAGTCTTTGATCTAACTCGAAGTGTTTGTAAGTTTCTGCCAATCTAAAAAATGTTCTTGTCACATGCGCTATTACAGATGATTTATTTACAGACTTATTTACGTGACTGGATTGTTTATGTATTTGTTAACACAAGAAACAATAGGAATTTGCAGTTGCGCCATCTTTGAAATTTGGAGGTGGTGTCCATAATACATTGCTGATACAAGTCACCTTAAAATAAAATTGCCTTTCGCGTACCGAGCCTCATCACGGAGCTAAAAAAGAATCTTTTTTAGCTCCATGGTCTCACTAATTTAGTTTCGGGACCAATTAACTAACCGAAATTTTGCTATATTTAGATATTGTTCTAAAACTCCTTGTATAAATATTATTATTCTTGCCGCAGGCGTTTCGATCATTTATCTTTTTTTCAGGGCGGGTTTTCTAGTATTCTTTGTCTGGTTTGCTTGGAAAGGGGTCTTGCACATGTAACAGATAAGAAAATAAATATATATGGTTAAATATACATCTTATACATGTACACCGACGATTAACAGAAAAGATAATACAAGGAAAGTATTAATCATGGCGAAGTCGTATATCCGTGTTTCCGGATGGGATATACTTCAATATAATAATTGTACCGAGTACTTAAAGTACTCCATGTTATAGCCTATGTTGGCATCACCGACATATAAACACGAAAGGTGTCCTCGTCTCTGACGTCAAACTGACATTGATTTGAACATGCCAACGCGTGATTTGATGTGATTTGCATAGTGTGTGAAATTTGGCCAGTACTCCGACCTATACCCGTCTAAACACCTCGGCTATTTCATACATTTCCGTGCATCGATATGGTTATATTTTACTCGCATGATAAACACACAGTGAGTTCGTCGTTCTTGTGCGGAGGGTAAAATCGTGGACGTACTAACAGTAAGTACGTCCATGGTGAAATTAAAACAATTGTTTTACATTGGAAAAGTCTCCTAAATTAATATAAACAACCCTAATTAATAAATAACGTACTTGTAAAGTACAAGCTGAGGTACAAGTTATTAGTAAATACATGAAACTCACCATAAGATACGAGTTATTTGTTAAACGTAAATATAATTTAACAATACAAACACGTACCGGTAGTGTCTATTCTCACACCACTCATATGAACAAAATACCTGTATACTAGTACTGACATGGTGACGAATTTCGGTGCCTATTGCATTCTATGTCTTTTTTTACTTCAAAAGTACTAGTAGTCGGCAG